ATCCATTGCTAACGAATTTATAAATATTGAATTTAGTATTAGCAGAAAATTGTTTTAGATTATTGAAAAAATAACAACTTTTGATTGTTTATTGACTAAATTTCATCAAAACTTGACATCTGTCAATCTATTCCAAGCAAATTGAATTAACCTACTAAAATTACCAATTGTAACCTAACTTTTTTTGACATCTGTCATATCTCACAGATTTGACATCTGTCATATTTAATACATTAATTCCATTTGCTAATTAACAAATATTTATTATACTATTAAGAAATAATCAGAATTAGATTGAAATTAATGAAATGATGAAAATGTGAAAATTACATAATAACTAGATAATCGTCGGATTATCTTATTTGCACAAATGCACGAGTACGTGGCGACATCTGCAGTGCAAATATACTTAATGGTTTCACAACCTGCAGCTTATTGATCTTGGCAAAATTCACCACATGCAACATTACGATGTTATATGATGAGATTATAAATGCAAGAAAGAAATAAAGAAACAAACAAACAAACAGATGCTGACTGAGTGCACTCAGAGAAGTTGTGGTTTACGAAAGTAAAGCGTAAATTGATGTTGGGAAAAATGCGTTTCGAATATGCGCGCTGTGGAAATTACATTATTTCTCGTTATCGCGGTCCCATTTTCCTCGGCACATTTCACATTTCGCAATGTTTATTAAAAACCATAAAATGAGGAAAAAATTCTCAACGCGAATATGGAAACAAAAAGCGCGTGCATTTTGTAGACGCGGATGGGAGTTTCTATTATTATTATTATTAGTGCGATTATGCAGTAAAAACGTAGTGAAAACCCATTACGATTATATTCTCGACGGGAAAAATGAGAGACGTAAGTTTTAATGGATTTCGTTCATTCTAGAAAAGAGAAAAAGTATAAAATAAAAATGATGGAATTGCCGTAGGGAAATTCTTGAGGAGATAATCATCATCATCGACGTCATTGTTGGAGATGGAAACGTATGATTCTATGCACGTCCTCGAACCTGCGCGAAACAATGAACGGAAATGCCTTCAAGCCTCCTCCTCCTCACGTTTCGTTCTTTTTATATCTTCTTGACCTGCTAAATATACACTTTCTTAGTGCACGTTGTAAGATTCATTGAAAATGAAGAAATTCTCTATGAATTTACCCAACCATTGCAAATTATACGTATCCCAGCATCACCTTTCCAATTTCAATCTAACCTCACAAAACTAACCTTCTATTATGTTTGGTAACACCGGAGAACACGATAGACTTTTGTAATATTCGTAGCACCTTAGAATTTTATCAAAACTTGACAATCTGTCCAAGCAAATTGAATTAGACTACTAAAATTACCTAACCTTTTTTAACATCTGTCATGTCTCACAGATTTTCGTAGCACCGTAGTTTTTGATCCAGAAAAATGAATTAAACCTAACCTAACTTATTCTAATAACTTTTGTAATACTCGTAGCACCGTAGAACACTATATATCTTTACAATTTTCGTTGCACCGTAGTTTTGATCTATATCTAGAATTGGGATAATTCAAGAGAAAATTAGCACTTTTAACGACAGAAAAATTAAATAAACCTAACCTAACATATTCTAATAATATATATATATTAAATAATATTGGATAATAAAATTTGAAAAATAAGTTCTAAAAGAAATTTCAAGATCGTTTACTTTATTTTGTTTTAAGGAAATTTTAACCTATTTGTTGTTTTGACATCTGTCTTTATGTAATGTGTCAATTTTAGATTGAGATATAGAAATCTTAACCTTACTTTTTTGACATCTGTCATGTCTCACAGATTTTCGTAGCACCGTAGTTTTGATTCAGATCTAATATTGGGATAATTCACGAGAAAATTAGCTCTATTAACGTCAAAAAATTGAATAAACCTAACCTAACTCAACCTAACCTAACTTATTCTAATAACTTTTGTAATACTCGTAGCACCGTAGAACACTATAGACCTTTATAATTTTCGTTGCACCGTAGTTTTGATCCATATCTAGAATTGGAATAATTTAAGAGAAAATGTTAACGTCAGAAAAATGAAATAAACCTAACCTAACATAGTCTAATAATATACATTAAATAATATTGGATAATAAAATTTCACAAGAAAATTAGCACTTTTAACGTCAGAAAAATGAAATAAACCTAACCTAACTCAACCTAACCTAACTTATTCTAATAACTTTTGTAATACTCGTAGCACCGTAGAACACTATAGACCTTTACAATTTTCGTTGCACCGTAGTTTCTATATCTAGCTAGAATTGGGATAATTCAAGAGAAAATTAGCACTTTTAACGTCAGAAAAATGAAATAAACCTAACCTAACATATTCTAATAATATACATTAAATAATATTGGATAATAAAATTTGAAAAATAAGTCGTTTACTTTATTTTGTTTTAAGGAAATTTTAACCTATTTGTTGTTTTTTTTTTTGACATCTGTCTTTATGTAATGTGTCAATTTTAGATTGAGATATAGAAATTGTAACCTTACTTTTTTGACATCTGTCATTCGATTGATCAAATTAATTGCCAACAAATTTATATCGGATAATAATTTTTAAAAGGTAAATAAATTTTGTCTAGACGACTAGCAAACATTAATCATAATTAATTTCTCAGAAGATTCTAATTTTCTTACTTAATTAAAAATATTAAGTTTACTAAATTAGTGAAGTAATTAACTATAATAAACAAAAACGAACTAGGATAAATGCACTAACATTATTTTGCATCTTAATGTGTTTAATGGATGGACGTGAACCGTTTCGTTTCTATCTCGTGCTTATAAAGATTTATGTCTGCAACAGTTTTCTCTCAACATTAATCAGCATTAAGGCTGCATTAAGACGGGAAGTACTGGCGCGTCCGATCTCGCATTTTAATTGGACAATAAACGCTTTCCAATCAATTTCGATGGAAGTCGCCTATATCTTCGAGGTTACATTAATTAAAATAGTTACCTTTCTAGATTCACGAAGCGATATTTAATATTTCAGTTTATTAATTGGAATAAAAATTGATTGATTGATAACAATTTGCAAAAAAAAACAGTATTCAAATTAATTAATTTAATCTTCAAACGTATATTTTAATTCATGATTGTTGTAAATCTAATTTAAGTTAAGTAAATTAAGCAGTTTTTTTACATTTTAGTGGTTTACTCAGAAACTATAATAGATAGAATGGATATAAAAAATGCATATGAAACTTGAATATTTTGGGAATGCAACGTGTATTCAATTATTGCTGTGGTTTTATCCGTTTGGCTCTAATTCGCCAATGAAAAAATAGCATTTGAAAAAGAAGTATGTTAACATTTTAGTGTTTTTCTCAGGAACTATAATAAGTGGAATGAATATAAAAAATGCATATGAAACTTGGATACTTGGGGAATGCAACGTGTTTTCAATTCTTGCTGTAGTTTTATCCGTTTGGCTCTAATTCGCCAATGAAAAATTAGTTTTTGAAAAAGAAGTATGTTAACATTTTAGTGTTTTTCTCAGAAATTATAATAGGTAGAATGGATCCAAGACATGTATATGAAACTTAAATATTTAGGGAATTCAACGTGTATTCAATTCTTGCTGTAGTTTTATCCGTTTGGCTCTAACTCGTCAATGAAAAATTAATGTTTGAAAAAGAAGTATGTTAACATTTTAATGTTTTTCTCAAAAACTATAATAGGTAGAATAGATATAATAAATGCGTATGAAACTTGGATATTTGGGGAATTCAATGGGTTTTCAATTCTTGCTGTGGTTTTATCCGTTTGGTGCTAATTCGCCAATGAAAAATTAGCGTTTGAAGAAGAAGTATGTTAACATTTTAATGTTTTTCTCAAAATCTATAATAGGTAGAATAGATCTAAAAAATGCTTATGAAACTTGGATATTTGGGGAATACAATGTGTATTCAATTCTTGTTGAGGTTTTATCCGTTTGGCTCTAATTCGCCAATGAAAAATTAGCGTTTGAAAAAGAAGTATGTTAACATTTTAGTGTTTTTCTCAGAAATTATAATAGGTAGAATGGATATAAGAAATGCATATGAGACTTGGATGTTTGGGTAATTCAACGGGTATTCAATTCTTGCTGTGGTTTTATCCTTTTGGTGCTAATTCGACAATGAAAAATTAGTTTTTGAAAAAGAAGTATGTTAACATTTTAGAGATTTTCTCAAAAACTATAATAGGTAGAATGGATATAAAAAATGCATATGAAACTTGGATATTTGGGAAATTCAATGGGTATTTAATTCTTGCTGTGGATTTATCCGTTTGGCTCTAATTCGCCAATGAAAAATTAGCGTTTGAAAAAGAAGTATGTTAACATTTTAATGTTTTTCTCAAAAACTATAATAGGTAGAATAGATATAAAAAATGCTTATGAAACTTGGATATTTGGGGAATACAATGTGTATTCAATTTTTGTTGAGGTTTTATCCGTTTGGCTCTAATTCGCCAATGAAAAATTAGCGTTTGAAAAAGAAGTATGTTAACATTTTAGTGTTTTTCTCAAAAACTATAATAGGTAGAATAGATCTAAAAAATGCTTATGAAACTTGGATATTTGGGGAATACAACGTGTATTCAATTCTTGCTGTGGTTTTATCCGTTTGGCTCTAATTCGCCAATGAAAAATTAGCGTTTGAAAAAGAAGTATGTTAACATTTTAGTGTTTTTTCTCAGAAACTATAATAGATAGAATGGATCCAAAACATGCATATGAAACTTAAATATTTAGAGAATGCAATGTGTATTTAATTATTTCTGTATATATTTCCATTTGGATGGAAATATATAAATTAATGAATGTTCAAATGATGTGTGTTTCTGTAACATTTCGTTGCAACTTTTGATGACGCACATCTCTTATGAAAGAGATCACGTAATGAGAATGCGCTTTGCATCCAGAGAGTGTGCGCATGTTGCAGGTCCTGATTTTGATGCAGTATCCCGCAGCACCAAATTTGATTGATCTGCTGCAAAATTTCCCTGGATGCTGTGTCGTGATAAGTAGTTTTAGTGCCCATCACACTCCTCTACCTGCAAAACCACGAATCATGTAAATTACTTATGAAACTTTACACTTCTACTTGTTTTGTTGTTTCTATTATAGTTTGAAATGATAAAACTTTGGTGGAAGCGCCGGGGTTTTATAAAATGTAGTTATAATTGTTAATAATTCTTTTTTTAATTGATTTTCAGGTTTCCATATGGCTCCGAAACTGAACGTAATCTTCCCAGAATCGTGCCTTCTGGTCGTGGTCGGAGTGGTGATCGGAGTGATCTTGGTGCACGTGACCGACGGCGTTCATGTGTCTCCGATGACACCGGACACCTTCTTCATATACATGCTTCCGCCCATCATCCTCGACGCCGGCTATTTCATGCCGAATCGTCTCTTCTTCGATCACCTTGGAACGATCCTCATATTCGCCGTCATCGGGACTATTTTTAACACACTCACCATAGGCAAGTAGAACTCACCGAAACAAAATAAATAAATAAAGAAAAACAACAACAACAAAATTAAGTAGAACGAAAGAGTAATAATACAAAGAAAACACCTACTGAATATTTATGGATTTCAGAGAACGGCACTTACCTGTTCCGCGCGCACACGCTCGCACCCCAAACCCCACCTTTAATTAAGGTCATTCGGACTTATTTCTGTTCCACCCGTGTCTTGAATCCATCCATTACAATATCCAATGAAAAGAATATTCGTCTTTTCGAAAGAAAAGAAAAACAACATTCATTACTCAACACGTTTTAGAGTGGAAAGCATAAATAGAAATGATAGATCGTCATGCACACTTTAAGATCAATACAACACAAAACAACGTTTCTTAACCTATAAATCCAGTCAAATGGTTCGAAAATGACAGCTGTCAAAATTTTATAAACTGAAAAGTCATAGATATTTTATGTCATGGACATACAAGAAATATTTGTTAATAAATAAATTAAAACATATTTAAAAAAATTCGATTTTGTTTTTGTTTTGTATTTTGTTGCGCCATTTAACCTTTTCGACAATTTGATCGCCGCCAATTTGCATCCTCGTTGTTTGTCGACTGCATTTCGGTTATCGATCTGCATACGCATTGCTGCACGATAATTCAGCAGATAGGCCTCTTTACGGCACTCTAGATAATTGTCGATCCTGCATTTGAAAGCCCCTAGATATTTATGAATTGTTATCAGAGTAGCGTTACAGATTTGACCTTCCAAATTTATTACAGATACAGATATCGTATATTACTATAGAAAGCAATTTCAAAACTGTTCGAAAAATATAGCAAATTTTATAGAAATACAACAAAGTATCGAATATAATATAGAAAGATGGTGTTACAAGCGTCTGTCAAGCAACTGTCAGTATGAGAATAAATTTTCAAATTTTGACACATTGACAAGCTGTCAAATGTTGACACTACTATCAAACCACTGTCACATTCTCTTTATGGTAAATAATTGTCCGTCTTCCAATTTATCTCCTGTAGATTTTGATAAATTTTCGAATGAATTTCCAGATTTAATATTTCAAATGTATTTAAATAAACCATTTTATTGACAATCTTAATCATCTTGTGTCAACCTACATTACAATTATCTGTCAAACAACTGTCACATTTTCAATTTTAGAACGTAGAATATTGACATTTCAAAAATTGACACCTTTCCACTATCTGTCAAGCAACTGTCAGAATCAGAATACATTTCCAAATTTTGACATATTACTGTGATACAATTGTTACTGTTTTAAATTTAAGAATGCAGTTTATAGAAATACAACAAGCTGTCTCTTAATTGCAAATAATTGTCCGTATTCCAATTTATCTCCTGTATGATTTTGATAACTCTTCGAATGAATTTACAGATTTAACATTTCAAATTTATTTAAATAAACCATTTTATTTAATAATCTTGTGTCAATCTACATTACAACTATCTGTCAAACAACTGTCACATTTTCAATTTTAGCACGCAGATTATTGACATTTTAAAAATTGACACATTGCAACTATCTGTCAAACAACTGTCAGAATCAGAATACATTTACAAATTTTGACACATTACTGTGATATAATTGTCACTGTTTTAAATTTAAGAATTCAGTTTGTATATATACAACAAGCTGTCTCTTTATGGTAAATAATTGTCCGTCTTCCAATTTATCTCCTGTAAATAAACCATTTTACTGACAGTCTTAATAATCTTGTGTCAATCTACATTACAGTTATCTGTCAAACAACTGTCATATTTTCAATTTTAGAACGCAGATTATTGACATTTCAAAAATTGACACATTGCAACTATCTGTCAAACAACTGTCATATTTACAGTAGCTGTGGTATATAGCTCAGTGGATTTCGTTTGCTAATTTATAGATGAAAGTTTATGGTTCAAATTCTATAAAAAGCAATAAATAATCAAGGATTTCAATAGACTGTACTGTTATTATGGAATAGGAAATTCACAAGTATTTGAGTGTATAGAGTTAAAGCAATTAATATTCAAATTTGTAGAAATACGTATGTATATTTTGACCGAAATCAAGTGCAAAATTGAATTAAAGGCTATATACGAAACTGCATTCAACTGGTAATTGGGTTTCGAATCGTTAGGATCGTTGCTGCAATTTTAACGAATTCAATTTAGAGTAGATTGATGATTCAATCCAATATGTATATAAAAAAAGACAAAAACAACACAACAATTGTTTTCAACTATATTGATTTCATTATAACAAAAACGTTCATTATATAAACATTACGTTTTTAGTACACAAATTTAGTGCTTTATCAGGATTACGAAAATAAACTTTGGATCGATTCTGTTGCCTGCATTTACTTGGAAAATATTGCTTGATTACATGTCAGGTGCAAATAACGCTTTGCTCGCTTTTCCTTTCCACCGTGGCCTTCGAACCCTGTCATTATTTACCACCCTCCAACGAATTACTTCTCGTTTATTTTTATTTTTCATACAACTTTATACGTTCATCCACTTCGATTAGAGTCCAGCCGTTGCATTTCCCATTAAACCGAAACGAAATTAACCACGTTAGATTTACGACCGAACGTATCGTATTTGGTACACATGGCAACCATCGCCACGGTAATAACAAAATAACTATGACTTACGCCTTTCAATTGTCGTTTGTTTTGACGTGTTCGATGTTTACTCCCATGAATTTTATACGTCTTTGTAGTCATGTTCGTAGTAGTGCAAATTGTGTAATAATTACGTCAATTAGTTTCATTCTTTTCTCACAATTCTCATATGAAATTTATACTTAATTATGATTACAATTTAATATTAAAATCGAATTCATCTTTGTCTGTAAACAAAAATATTGCTCAAGTAAAATTAATTTATACTCAATAATATATTTATTTTGGCTATTTGCTTTTAAAAACAGAAATAGAAATCTTCAAAAAACATAAATTTATAATCTATTTATTTTCAAATGAAAACTAATAATTAAAATATTACACACACAAAATTTATTTTATAACAGTACAAAATTTGGTATACTTGTCTGCGATTGTGCGAATTTTCCTCCTACGAATTCCACTTGTAAAAAAATAGAGTGAAATCTGCTCAATGGCCGTTCCTAGTGTTTACGACTGTATCGTAAAACGAGTCAAAACGTGACCCTCGACAAAAGAATAGGTGTTAAAGGAATCTCATGAAGCGCCCTTAAGAGGAACAGACTGTTTTTTTAGTATACAGGATGATAAAAAGTTATTTTCTTTCAAAGCTTAAGAGCATGACAAATTGCATACATTTTTAAACAAAATAACTATGTTTTTGAGATTCTTAAGTTTTGTTCTAAAAATCTATGATGTCTTCCAATTTATGATCATCCTGTATATTTATTATATACAATTTCTTTGATTATTTGTTATTTAAATAAAAGGAATTATGGAAAAATCATCAAAAAATACAAATGAATAATAGTTTGTTGGGTTGCCTGACAATTTTTGTTGCACCAATTTATGATATATTTCTATTAATGATCGCTGTGTATATTTCATAACTTAGATTTCTCTTGTAATGTTGAATTGGTAATTGAGAATGACATATAATTATTGTTTACGAGAATCTCCAGAATTGAGTGTAATTCTCTTAGTAATGATAGATGTCATTAGTACGTAGTTCTTCATCGTTATGCCGCAGAAGGTGATGCTGTAAACGAGAGATTGTGGGAATCTCATGAAGCACCCTTAAGAGAAACATACTGTTTTTTTAGTATACAGGATGATAAAAAGTTGTTTTCTTTCAAAGCTTAAGAGCATGACAAATTTGCATATATTTTTAAACAAAATAACTATGTTTTTGAGTTTTGTTTTTTTTTTCTAAAAATCTATGAAGTTTTCCAATTTGTGATCATCCTGTATATTTATTATATACAATTTCTTTGATTATTTGTTATTTAAATAAAAGGAATTATGGAAAAATCATCAAAAAATATAAATGAATAATAGTTTGTTGGGTTGCCTGACAATTTTTGTTGTATCAATTTATGATATACTTCTAATAATGATTGCTGTGTATATTTCATAACTTATATTTCTCTTGTAATGTTGAATTGGTAATTGAGAATGAAATATAATTATTGTTTACGAAAATCTCCAGAATTGAGTGTAATTCTCTTAGTAATGATAGATGTCATTAGTATAGACATTTTTCTTTGACAGCTTGTTGACGTTTATATTTATTACAGTGTTGCCAACTAAATAATTAATCATACATTTTTTTATAGTTTAATTTCCTTTAATATATTATGTTACTTAAATTACTGTGAGTATGTTTTGTGATTCTTCGGTTTATTGCGGAAGTCGTGTGGTGGTGATGATGTAATAGTGTGTTTGATTTGTTTAGGTGCTTCCTTGTGGGCGGTTGGTACGACGGGCCTCTTCGGCTGCGAAACCCCATTAATGGAAATGTTCCTGTTCAGCTCGCTGATTTCGGCGGTCGATCCGGTCGCCGTTCTCGCCGTCTTCGAGGAGATCCAGGTGAACGAGATCCTGTACATCGTCGTGTTCGGCGAGTCCCTGCTGAACGACGCCGTCACCGTCGTCCTCTATCACATGTTCGAGAGTTACACGGAGATGGGCCTGGACAACATCATCTACACCGACATCCTCGCAGGTTTCGCGAACTTCTTCGTCGTCGCCATCGGTGGTATCGTGATCGGAGTGATCTGGGGCTTCGCCACCGGTTTCGTGACTCGTTTCACGAACGAGGTTCGCGTCATCGAGCCGATCTTCATCTTCGTCATGGCCTACCTCGCATACCTGAACGCCGAGATCTTCCACATGTCCGGCATATTAGCGTAAGCATCTTGACAACTTCTTTCGATCATCATGATCTCTCATCATGGCAATCTCTCGTTTACAGCATCACCTTCTGCGGCATAACGATGAAGAACTACGTGGAAGGCAACATCTCGCACAAGTCGCACACGACCATCAAGTACGCAATGAAGATGTTGAGCAGCTCTTCGGAGACCATCATCTTCATGTTCCTCGGCGTCGCCACCGTCAATAAAAACCACGACTGGAACACGTGGTTCGTCATCCTCACAATTCTGTTTTGCTCAGTCTTCAGAATACTAGGTAAGTTCATATTGATTTGTCAGATATCTCCATAACTACCACTACAGGTTTCCTCACAAATACTTGTCTACAAGTTGCTTTACAAGTATTGTAAACAAACAATTAACATGTTGCAAAGTCATTCAGAGTTCGAAGCAGAGTTTTGCTTTGATTATATCATATATTAGATACTCGTACAAGTATTTGTGCAATAATATTACTTGTAAATGAACATTTGTCAAGTAACTTGCACAAGTACTTATTGGTGATG